GTGAACTGTCCATACCATTGTTTCCAGTAGTAAGGAGATACAGTGAACTGTCCATACCATTGTTCCCAGTAGAAAGGAGATACAGTGAACTGTCCATACCATTGTTCCCAGTAGTAAGGAGATACAGTCAACTGTCCATACCATTGTTCCTAGTAGTGACATACAGCCAACTGTCCATACCATTGTTCCTAGAAGTGAAATACAGGCAACTGTCCATACCATTGTTCCTAGAAGTGAAATACAGGCAACTGTCCATACCATTGTTCCTAGAAGTGAAATACAGGCAACTGTCCATACCATTGTTCCTAGTAGTGAAATACAGCAAACTGTCCATACCATTGTTCCTAGAAGTGAAATACAGGCAACTGTCCATACCATTGTTCCTAGAAGTGAAATACAGCAAACTGTCCATACCATTGTTCCTAGAAGTGAAATACAGGCAACTGTCCATACCATTGTTCCTAGTAGTGACATACAGGCAACTGTCCATACCATTGTTCCTAGAAGTGAAATACAGGTAACTGTCCATTCCATTGTTCCTAGTAGTGACATACAGGCAACTGCCCGTTCCACTGTTCCTAGTAGTGACATACAGGCAACTGCCCGTTCCACTGTTCCTAGTAGTGACATACAGGCAACTGTCCATTCCATCGTTCCTAGTAGTGACATACAGCCAGCTGTTCATGCCACTGTTCCTAGTAGTAAGGATATACAGTCACTGTCCATACCATTGTTCCTAGTAGTAAGGAGATACAGTGAACTGTCCATACCATTGTTCCCAGTAGTAAGGAGATACAGTCACTGTCCATACCATTGTTCCCAGTATTAAGGAGATACAGTGAACTGTCCATACCATTGTTCCCATTAGTAAGGAGATACAGTGAACTGTCCATACCATTGTTTCCAGTAGTAAGGAGATACAGTGAACTGTCCATACCATTGTTCCCAGTAGAAAGGAGATACAGTGAACTGTCCATACCATTGTTCCCAGTAGTAAGGAGATACAGTCAACTGTCCATACCATTGTTCCTAGTAGTGACATACAGCCAACTGTCCATACCATTGTTCCTAGAAGTGAAATACAGGCAACTGTCCATACCATTGTTCCTAGAAGTGAAATACAGCAAACTGTCCATACCATTGTTCCTAGAAGTGAAATACAGGCAACTGTCCATACCATTGTTCCTAGTAGTGACATACAGGCAACTGTCCATACCATTGTTCCTAGAAGTGAAATACAGGTAACTGTCCATTCCATTGTTCCTAGTAGTGACATACAGGCAACTGCCCGTTCCACTGTTCCTAGTAGTGACATACAGGCAACTGCCCGTTCCACTGTTCCTAGTAGTGACATACAGGCAACTGTCCATTCCATCGTTCCTAGTAGTGACATACAGCCAGCTGTTCATGCCACTGTTCCTAGTAGTAAGGATATACAGTCAACTGCCCATACCATTGTGACATGCAGCCAACTGTCCACTCCATTGTTCCTAGTAGTGACATGCAGCCAACTGTCTATTCCATTGTTCCCAGTAGTAAGGAGATGCAACCAACTGTCCATTCCATTGTTCCTGGTAGTGAGGGGGTACAGTCACATGTTCATGCCATTGCTCCTAGTAGTAAGGAGTTAAATTCAGATGTTCATTCCATTGTTTCTAGTAGTGACAAACAGCCAACTGTCCATACCATTGTTCCTGGTAATAAATAGATACAGTCACATGTTCATTCCATTGTTCCTAGTAGTAAGGAGATGAATTCAGTCAGAAGTATATTTCATTGTCCCTAGTAGTTAGGACTACAGTCAGCCGTCCATACCATTGTTCCTAGTAGTAAGGACTACAGTCAGATGTCCATTCCATTGTTCCCAGTAGTAAGGACTACAGTCAGATGTCCATTTCATTGTTCCCAGTAGTAAGGACTACAATCAGATGTCCATTCCATTGTTCCTAGTAGTAAGGACTACAGTCAGATGTCCATTTCATTGTTCCCAGTAGTAAGGACTACAGTCAGATGTCCATTTCATTGTTCCCAGTAGTAAGGACTACAGTCAGATGTCCATTCCATTGTTCCCAGTAGTAAGGACTACAGTCAGATGTCCATTTCATTGTTCCCAGTAGTAAGGACTACAGTCAGATGTCCATTTCATTGTTCCCAGTAGTAAGGACTACAATCAGATGTCCATTCCATTGTTCCCAGTAGTAAGGACTACAGTCAGATGTCCATTTCATTGTTCCCAGTAGTAAGGACTACAGTCAGATGTCCATTCCATTGTTCCCAGTAGTAAGGACTACAGTCAGATGTCCATTTCATTGTTCCCAGTAGTAAGGACTACAGTCAGATGTCCATTTCATTGTTCCTAGTAGTAAGGACTACAATCAGATGTCCATTCCATTGTTCCTAGTAGTAAGGACTACAGTCAGATGTCCATTTCATTGTTCCCAGTAGTAAGGACTACAGTCAGATGTCCATTCCATTGTTCCTAGTAGTAAGGACTACAATCAGATGTCCATTCCATTGTTCCTAGAAGTAAGGACTACAGTCAGATGTCCATTTCATTGTTCCCAGTAGTAAGGACTACAGTCAGATGTCCATTTAATGTCCCTTCTGGTAAGGACTACAGTCAGATGTCCATTCAATGTCCCTTCTGGTAAGGACTACAGTCAGATGTCCATTTCATTGTTCTTAGTAGTAAGGACTACAGTTAGATGTTCATTCCATTGTTCCCACTAGTAAGGACTACAGTTAGATGTTCATTCCATTGTTCCCACTAGTAAGGACTACAGTCAGATGTTCATTCCATTGTTCCCACTAGTAAGGACTACAGTTAGATGTTCATTCCATTGTTCCCACTAGTAAGGACTACAGTCAGATGTTCATTCCATTGTTCCTAGTAGTAAGGACGTACAGTCAGATGTCTAAAACATTGCTCCTGGTAGTAAGGACTACAGTCAGATGTCCATTCAATGTCCCTTCTGGTAAGGACTACAGTCAGATGCACATTTCAATGTCCCTTCTGGTAAGGACTACAGTCAGATGCACATTCCATTGTTCCCAGTTGTAAGGACTACAGTCAGATGTCCATTTCATTGTTCTTAGTAGTAAGGACTACTGTCAGCTATTCATTCCATTGATGCCAGTAGTAAGGACTACAGTTAGATGTTCATTCCATTGTCTATACCATTGTTCCTAGTAGTAAGGACGTACAGCCAGGTGAAGTGATTTGAAAGGAGATAGAGGAACACAGTTATATCTTACAGGGGACCGCCTTCGTGGTCTAGTGGTAGAGCGTCCGCCCGGAGAGCGGAAGGTCCGGGGATCGATCCCCGGCCGCGTCATACCAAAAGACGTTAAAAGATGGTATTTGTTGTTTCCCTGTCTGGCGCTCGGCATTAAGGGGCTAAAACAAGGACTGGTCGGCTCGGAGTCAGTATACTGTGTCTGAGTGGGATATTGATGTTAAACTGCGGCATGGTATCTCAGTGAGATAGCACTATGAATCGGCATCAGTCCGGACTAGTACAAGCAGCCACACAAACACACACACGTACATGCACGTCGCTATATAAGTGCAATAATCTTGGACGCGACGTTAAACCCCATTTCACCTCACCTCACCTCTTACAGGGGGTTTCTGATATTGCTTTTTGCAGGTGACATTATTCGTTTCTCAGATAATGTACTTCATGTATGGACTTCAGAAGCATTTGAATACCTTGAAATCACACTGTGCCTTGTGGAAACTATCTATCAATCTTGATGAAACAAAGATTGTTGTTTCTTGAAAATACGATCCTGTTAAGAAATGGGAATCGTGGAAATTTGTTAGCATTGGTAACATTGAAGTAGTTTCTCAATTTAGAAAAGTCAGTTGAAAGCACTAGTGTAACGGGCAAACGAGAACTCTATGAACTTTTAAGAGTGAGTGAGTGAGTGAGTGAGTATGGTTTTACGCCGCTTTTAGCAATATTCCAGCAATATCACGGCGGGGGACACCAGAAATGGGCTTCACACATTGTACCCATGTCGGGAATTGAACCCGGGTCTTCAGCGTGACGAGCGAACGCTTTAACCACTAGGCTACCCGACCGGCCCTGAACTTTTAATAGCATTGGACTCTTAACTTACGACATGCATTTCAAGATATTCGACATGAAGATAAAACCTCGTCTTCTGTATGGATCTGAACTGTGTGGTAGCCAAAGATTTAATGTCCTAGGGACAAAACAATTTTCAGCATGTAAAACATTTTTTGGCATATGACAACGGACGCCAAATGTTATGACTATTGCCGAATATGGAAGACACCAATTGTTCGGTGAATTATTTATTAGATGTGTAAAATATTGGTTATCACTATTCACTTGCCAAATTACCGTCTACTCCCAAAAGCCTATGACATGTCATGTCTCTTAGATTCTCAAAACAGATATTCTTGGGCGACAAAGGTTAAATAGTCAGTGTTTATGTTGGGTTTTGGATATGCTTGGATATAACACCAGAACTCACTCTCGCCCATTGTACACATTTGGGGATCGAAGCTGGGTCTTCGATGTGACAGGGGGCACGGGTGGCCCAGTCGTCTAAGGTGCCGCGATTCGCTGTGCAGAGTTGCGTCCCTTGGGCACACCAGAAACCTATGATTGTGGGTTCGAATCCCGGTTCGCCCCAATTATGTTTCTAGGTTTGCCAGCACCATTCCCGTGCCCGTGGGTTTCACCAAAGTGGTAAACGTCTGAGACCTGCATCACTTCGGGCTTTCCTCCAACATTAATCTGACACGCCGTGATATAACTCAAATAATGTTAAAAGCGGCGTTAAACCCAACTCACTCACTCACTCTTCGGTATGACGAGCTAACGCTTTAAGCATAAGACTACTAGCCGCACCACAAGCACATGACAAGTTACACATTTCATATGACAAAGTGAGCCAAAACCTGTAAACAACTTTTGCAGACTTCGACATTTTTGTCTTCGAATGCATGTAAACAATAACACAGGTCAACTTTTATCCATTTTATCCATATATCCACTTCTCGTAAAGGCTATACATTTCAATGGAAAATAAAACATCCCTCAATATGTCTGTACACACTGTCCCGCCGACCACGACGTTGTGTATACTGCTGCTGCAGATGTCGTTGTCGTGGTCGTAACATTGGCCTTCATTAGCGTCATTTAAAAACGTCCAGTGAAGAGTCTTGACTTCTGAGGTAATTTAAAACAACCTCCCTTAACAGTAGCAATATGTGGAGGTCATTTAACAACCTCCCGTAACAGAAGCAATATTTTGAGGTCATTTAACAACCTCCAGAAACAGCAGCAATATATGGAGGTCATTTACAACCTCCCATTACAGTAGCAATATGTGGAGGTCATTTAACAACCTCCAGAAACAGTAGCAATATATGGAGGTCATTTAACAACCTCCAGAAACAGCAGCAATATATGGAGGTCATTTAACAAGCTCCAGAAACAGTAGCAATATGTGGAGGTCATTTAACAACCTCCCGCAACAGAAGCAATATATGGAGGTCATTTAACAACCTCCAGAAATAGTAGCAATATATGGAGGTCATTTAACAAGCTCCAGAAACAGTAGCAATGTATGGAGGTCATTTAACAACCTCCAGAAACAGTAGCAATATGTGGAGGTCATTTAACAACCTCAATACACAGTAGCAATATATGGAGGTCATTTAACAACCTCCAGAAACAGTAGCAATATATGGAGGTCATTTAACAACCTCCAGAAACAGTAGCAATATGTGGAGGTCATTTAACAACCTCCAGCAACAGCAGCAATATATGGAGGTCATTTAACAACCTCCAGAAACAGCAGCAATGTATGGAGGTCATTTAACAACCTCCAGAAACAGCAGCAATATATGGAGGTCATTTAACAACCTCCAGAAACAGCAGCAATATATGGAGGTCATTTAACAACCTCCAGAAACAGCAGCAATATATGGAGGTCATTTAACAACCTCCAGCAACAGCAGCAATGTATGGAGGTCATTTAACAACCTCCAGAAACAGTAGCAATATGTGGAGGTCATTTAACAACCTCCATAAACAGTAGCAATATATGGAGGTCATTTAACAACCTCCCGTAACAGTAGCAATATGTGGAGGTCATTTAACAACCTCCAGAAACAGTTACAATATGTGGAGGTCATTTAACAACCTCAATACACAGTAGCAATATGTGGAGGTCATTTAACAACCTCCCGTAACGGCAGCAATATATGGAGGTCATTTAATAACCTCCTGAAACAGTAGCAATATATGGAGGTCATTTAAAACAACCGAAACAGCAGAATTATATTGAGGTTGAGGGCGTTGAACTCAGGAGAATAAGTTGATATACCCATCACGTAAAATATCTCACATTGCTATAGATATAAGCATGACAATATCATGTTCATAGTCATTAGACGGTACTGTTTCTTTCCGTGCTTATATGTTACGATATCAAAATATATTAACACAAGAATAGATTAAATGTCCAGATACAATATTTGGGCATGGCACAGGTGATCAAAGCTCCTGCGTACATATATGCCATATCTTCTCGTTCAACACGGAGACTACGTGTGTGTTGACGTTATCTGCGTGAATGGACGAAAACTTCCCCGGTGAATCTGCATCAAGTACCCGGATGTTCTGGTCACTTTGGGTGACCCGGATGTTCTCCTGTGCGCAGGGGATGCTGGGAATACCACGATGCTCTGGTGACGTCGTCCATGGCAACTCGATGTACATAATTATATATCACAGTTAGAAATTCAGTGTACACATTCACGGACGAGCATTCGAGCGGGTAACGCAATGTGTCCTTAATGGTGCTTTCATCAACGCAAAAATGACCCCAGCCTTTTTATTTCATGTTGGGTAGAATCAGGGTTCCCTAAAAACAAAGTAAACTCATGATATACATCAACAATACCATGGAACAGCGAGATGACTTCCTTCATGTTTCACTTCACTTTGTTTCAGTACCTGTAGGCCACGGACGTTTTTGTACAGACGAAATACAATTAAGGTGCAAACAGTAAAAGATATAATACATTTCTTTGCTTTTGAACAAAAGCAGTTTTAACATAGTTGCACATTATACATTTTGGAGTATTTGTGTTCTTACAGCATTGGCATAAAACAAGTACTTTGCTGTATTCATATTGATAATTGGACTTGCGATGACAGCAGGGTATTACACTTCAGAATATTTCGAAAGATGTAAAATTTAGATTTTAAGTAACTTTGCCTAAGATGGCTATATGCTGGAAAAATTAACAAAAAGTGATATTCATTTTCGATATGGTTTAAGTTACAAACTGTACATTTTCTAAATTCACGAGGAATATTATAATGTCGTCCACGTCGAAAACGAGTCAGTGTGGTTCTGAATTTATTTACAGTAATACTACTCAAATAGTTCTCACATGAAATGGATGTTTTAAACTGTGCATGATAAGCCATTTTGGGGCTTTCAGATAAATCAATATGCCAAACCTGAAAAAAGTTTTCTTTTAACCATTGACGTAGCATATTAAAATGTACGGTTTTATTACCACATGTTTGAAAGAACCAGACATCACCAAATCCTAATCTGAAATAACAGTTATAAGTTTCGTTATCCAATTTACGTGGCCTTATTCATCGTACAAGCGCCACATATTTTCACATTTTTTAGGGGGGTAAGCGGGATTCCTGCATAATTTATTTAAAAGAGACAGCCAATATTTGAAACATTTCAAAACAGCAAGCACCTGGATAGAGTATCTACCACACTCGCCTAACACCCCATTATTTGAAGTTGATAACTTTACATTTAAAAGACGCTTACATGCATACAATTGAACTTTTTCTAGCGGTTCTATGTCACTGAACCCCCAAATTTCGGCCCCGTATAAAAGTATTGGTGTCATCTTTGCATCAAATAATTTGAAGTAAAAGTGAGGCGAGTATGGTTTCAAGGAATGTATACTACTTAAAAGGGCCATGAACACCTTTCTTGCCTGAATTGCAATATTACTTAAAGTTTTCGACCACAGTAATCTATAGCTACAATACAAACCAAGATAACTGTATCCTTTATATTTTATGTATGGATATTAATATGTGAGTTGGGCGTCTTTATCTTCGTAAATCACTTAAGTTGACCAAGAAACAGATTCAGAATATATTTAGATATTATGCCGATTGCGCGTTTATGTTTTTGTTTGTTGTTTAAAGCCGCACTTAGCAACATTCCACCTATGTGAGTCTGGACCAGACACTCCAGTGATTGACGTTATGAGCATCGATCTCCGCAATTGGGATACGATGACATGCATCGACCAAGTCAGCAAGCCTGACCACCCGATCCCGTTAGTCGCCTTTTACGGCAAACATGGGTTGCTAAAGACCAGTTCTAACCCCGATCTTCGCGTTAATGTTAGGTATATACTTGTCCCTTAAACACATAGCTGGTGTGTTGTGAAGGTCATTTGATGTCAAGTGAGTGATTGAGTGAGTGAGTATGGTTTTACGCCGCTTTTAGCAATATCCCAGCAACATCACGGCGGGGGACACCAGAAATGGGCTTCACACATTGTACCCATGTCGGGAATCGAACACGGGTCTTCGGCGTGACGAGCGAACGCTTTAACCACTAGGCTACCCGACCGCCCCTGATGTCAAGTATTCGTGTATGAGAGCCACTTGTAATATTTAAAGGACAAATTCTACCATTCGAGATTCATATGGAAAGTTCATGGACAGACGATGGACACAAACATGTGAGTGAGTGAGTGAGTATGGTCTTAGGCCGCTTTTAGCCACGTTCCAGTAATATCACGAGGGGGAACACGAGAAATCACTCTCGCCCAATGTACCCATGTGGGAAATCAAACCTGGGTCTTCGGTGTGACGAGCTAACGATTTAAGCATAAGGCTTATCCTGTGATTGACATTTTAAGCATCGATCTACGGAATTGGGATACGATGACATGCTACAACCAAATCAGCAAGCCTGACCACCTGATCCCGTAAGTCGCCTCTTACGGCAAGCATGGGTTGCTAAAGACCAATTCTAACCCGGATCTTTGCGTTAATGTTAGGTTGATACTTGTCCCTTAAAAACTTGTCAGGTTCATATGCTCAGTGAATAAACAATGGGACCTTCATACCTCGTCATCCTGGTAGCCTTTTTTGGTGAATGGCATATGCTGGAAGGACACCGCCCCAGGAATCCAACGTCTGGCATGGTAGCACCTGTAAAACATGTTATATCATCTAAAAAAATTACAGAATACCCTGATGTGCTGACACAACTTGTTCTAACACAAAAGTCTTTGAAGAATTTTAATCATTATGCTTGTGCCACTAAAATACATTACACATGATAACACGTTTGAATGAGCAAATCACCGATTTAGAGCCTCAGTCAGCAATGTTTCAACTTAAGCTGCGTCGATCTATAAATGGAGCAGACAAAACCCTGTTTGACAAAGACCCCGCCGTCGGGTTAGGCTGATGAACAATCTACCCTGTCTGTATTCATGTCGACCTCTAGGGTCACACTGGCTCCCGGGGGTCGACCTCACTCCAGGACTTACCGTCTGTAGTAGAAGATGCCCGCCACAACAGCCAGGACCAAGATTATGCTGACACACACCCCGGCAGCCACCCTAGCTCCGGACCCCTTGTCCGACTTCTGGTCCTCTGGGTGGACTGTGGAACTACCAGGCCGTGGGGGTGGCACTGTTGGTACCATCGATGAGCTGAAGGAGGAGGATGTTGTTGGCGCTGGTTCGAGTGATAAGCTATCAGGGGAAGACGTTGTTGGCGCTGGTTCGAGTGATAAGCTATCAGGGGAAGACGTTGATGACGCTGGTTCGAGTGATAAGCTATCAGGGGAAGACGTTGATGGCGCTGGTTCGAGTGATAAGCTATCAGGGGAAGACGTTGATGACGCTGGTTCGAGTGATAAGCTATCAGGGGAAGACGTTGATGACGCTGGTTCGAGTGATAAGCTATCAGAAGACGCTGGCGTTGGTTCGAGTGATAAGCTATCAGGGGAAGACGTTGGCGTTGGTTCGAGTGATAAGCTATCAGGGGAAGACGTTGATGACGCTGGTTCGAGTGATAAGCTATCAGGGGAAGACGTTGATGACGCTGGTTCGAGTGATAAGCTTTCAGGGGAAGACGTTGGCGTTGGTTCGAGTGATAAGCTATCAGGGGAAGACGTTGATGACGCTGGTTCGAGTGATAAGCTATCAGGAGAAGACGTTGGCGTTGGTTCGAGTGAAAAGCTATCAGGGGAAGACGTTGGCGTTGGTTCGAGTAATGAGCTTGCAGTGGAAGATGTTAGTTCGGGTGAAAGTGTATCAGTGATCGGGTTTGGTACTGTTGTGTCTGGTGATGAGCTATTGAGGCTTGATGTAGCTAGATCTACAATTGCTCCTTTGGAGGCGGATGCTGTTCCTGTGAGCTCTAGGGAAGATGTGTTCAGTGGTGAACTGCCAGTGTCAGATGTTTCTGTTGATGTGCTGGATGAACCTGTAGGGGAAGATATAGTTGCTGTTGGTTTTATTGAAGCACTTGCGGTGCTAAATATAGTTTCTGTAGGTGTTATTGAAGCGCTTGCGGGACTAAACATAGCTGCTGTTGGTCTTATAGAAGCGCTTGCGGGACGAGATAAGATCTCGGTTTCTTTAATTGATTCACTCGCAAGGTTAGATAAAGCTCCTGTTTGTTTTATAGAAGCACTTGCAGGGTTAGATGCATTTTCTGTTTGTGTACTTGAAGTACTTGCGGGACTAGATATAGTTTCTGTTTGTTTTATAGAAGCACTTGCAGGGTTAGATGCAGTTTCTGTTTGTATACTTGAAGTACTTGCGGGACTAGGTATAGTTTCTGTTTGTATAATTGAAGTACTTGCGGGACTAGATATAATTTCTGTGTGTTTTATAGAAGCACTTGCAGAGTTAGATATAGTTTCTGTTAGTTTTATAGAAGCACTTGTAGGACGAGATACAGTCTCTGTTTCTTTCACTGATTCACTCGCGGGGTTTGATAATGTCTCTGTTTGTTTTACTGTCAAACTGTCGACGTAAGATTCTGTTGATATAATTGAAGAGCCATGGTGTCTTATTGTAGCTGTAGATGTGCTTTCTAGGGGGAAAAGACAGACAAGCTATTAAAGCAAGGATTAATAATTGTATATCTTTTCAATATCATAGCATGACGATTCAAGATATATAAGTTCAACATATATATTGTTATCGTATCATGCATGATATTGAACACAAAATCATCTACATGCAAACTTCGTACGAAATTATAGGAAAATTTAATTAGCAGATAAACATCTCTTCAATTTGTATAAATTGAGTTGTTGGTTTGACATTAAGAACAAATCGGACTAGCAAAATAAGATTTCCAAATCAGCTTTATTCAGAGGCTGCTTTGTTGTGCTGCTTTGGGACCTATGATTGACGAATCAAAGTCGATATGATCTAATGTCTTATTGTATGATCCTAAATGTGAAGGGTTCCAACGTGGAGATCAAGCTGTAGAGTGGCACAGTGTTCAATAACACCCGCATCGGCCGCTTATATACATTACAACATAGAACATGACGAACCGAATACGGGCAATATATCCCTTGGACAGTTATTACCCAGCTAGGTGTTAACATAGCAGTGAGCACTATTTCAGTTGAACCGCTGCGGTCTACATACAACAGAGTGTGGAACTGAATCACAACGGCCAGGTAACAGTTGAGTCTGGACCTGAATCACTGCGGTTTGGATACAGCTGAAAAGCTGAATCACAGGGGGCTGTATACAGTTCAGTTTGGATCTGAATTACAGCGGTCTGTAAACAGTTGAGTCTGGACCTGAATCACAGGGGCCCGTTTACAGTTGAGTCTGGACCTGAATCACAGCGGCCTGTATAAAGCTGAGTCTGGGTTGGTTGGTTGTTTTACGCCGCACTCTGTAAAATAATCGAGTCTGGGCCAGACAATCCAGGGATTGATATCATGAGCATCGATCCACGCAATTGGGACCGATGACCTGCATCAACCAAGTCAGCGAGCCTGACCACCCGATCCCGTTAGTCGCCTTTTTACGCCAAGCATAGTCGCCTTTTATGGCAAGCATGGGTTGCTGAAGACCTATTCTACCCCGGAATCTTCACGGGTCGCTGATTCTGGGCCTGAATCACAGGGGCCTGTATACAGTTGAGTCTGGACCTGAATCACAGGGGCCTGTATACAGTTGAGTCTGGACCTGAATCACAGGGGCCTGTATACAGTTGAGTCTGGACCTGAATCACAGGGGCCTGTATACAGTTGAGTCTGGACCTGAATCACAGGGGCCTGTGTACAGTTGAGTCTGGACCTGAATCACAGGGGCCTGTATACAGTTGAGTCTGGACCTGAATCACAGGGGCCTGTGTACAGTTGAGTCTGGACCTGAATCACAGGGGCCTGTATACAGTTGAGTCTGGACCTGAATCACAGGGGCCTGTATACAGTAGAGACTGTCTACATATATAACATCCTGGTCTAACTGTTTAACATCCCAGTCTACCCGTATAACACCCCAGTCTAACTGTTTAACAACCTGGTCTAACTGTTTAACATCCCAGTCTATCTGTATAACATCGTAGTCTACCTGTATAACATCGTAGTCTACCTGTGTAACATCCCAGTCTAACTGTTTAACATCCTGGTCTACCTGTTTGACATCCTGGTCTATCTGTATAACATCGTAGTCTACCTGTATAACATCGTAGTCTACCTGTGTAACATCCCAGTCTAACTGTTTAACATCCTGGTCTACCTATTTGACATCCTGGTCTATCTGTATAACATCCCAATCTACCTGTAAAACATTGTAGTCTACCTGTTTAACATCCCAGTCTACCTGTAAAACATCCTAGTCTAACTGTTTAACATCCCAGTCTAACTGTTTAACATCCTGGTCTAACTGTTTAACTTCCCAATCTACCTGTATAACATCCCAGTCTAACTGTTTAACATCGTAGTCTACCTGTTTAACATCCCACTCTACCTGTTTAACATCCTGGTCTATCTGTATAACATCCCAATCTACCTGTATAACATTGTAGTCTACCTGTTTAACATCCCAGTCTACCTGTTTAACATCCCAGTCTTCCTGTAAAACATCCCAGTCTAACTGTTTAACATCCCAGTCTAACTGTTTAACATCCTGGTCTAACTGTTTAACTTCCCAATCTACCTGTATAACATCCCAGTCTAACTGTTTAACATCGTAGTCTACCTGTTTAACATCCCACTCTACCTGTTTAACATCCTGGTCTATCTGTATAACATCCCAATCTACCTGTATAACATTGTAGTCTACCTGTTTAACATCCCAGTCTACCTGTAAAACTTCCCAGTCTAACTGTATAACATCACAGTCTAACTGTTTAACATCCTGGTCTAACTGTTTAACATCCCAGTCTAAATGTTCAACTTCCCAATCTACCTGTATAACATCCCAGTCTAACTGTTGAGCATCCTGGTCGAGATGTTTAACATCCCAGTCTAACTGTTTAACATCCCAATCTACCTGTGTAACATCCCAGTCTAACTGTTGAGCATCCTGGTCGAGATGTTTAACATCCCAGTCTAACTGTTTAACAACCTGGTCTTACTGTATAACATCCCAGTCTAACTGTTTGACAACCTGGTCTAACTGTTTAACATCCCAGTCTATCTGTTTAACATCGTGGTCTACCTGTTTAACATCGTAGTCTACCTGTATAACATCCTAGTGTACCTGTATAACATCCCAGTCTAACTGTTTAACATCGTAGTCTACCCGTATAACATCCAGTCTAACTGCATAACATCCCAGTCTAACTGTTTAACATCCTGGTCTAACTGATTAACTTCACAATCTACCTGTATAACATTGTAGTCTACCTGTTTAACATCCCAGTCTAACTGTTTAACATCCCAGTCGAAATGTTTAACATCCTGGTCGAAATGTTTAACATCCCAATCTAACTGTTTAACCTCCTGGTCTAACTGTTTGACATCCTGGTCTAACTGTATAACATCCCAATCTACCTGTAAAGGTAGTCTACCTGTTTAACATCCCAGTCTACCTGTATAACATCCCAGTCTAACTGTTTAACATCCCAGTCTATCTGTTTAACATCCGAGACTAACTGTTTAACATCCTGGTCTAACTGTTTAACATCCGAGTCTAACTGTTTAACTTCCCAATCTACCTGTATAACATCTCAGTCTAACTGCATAACATCCCAGTCTAACTGTTTAACATCGTAGTCTACCCGTATAACATCCAGTCTAACTGCATAACATCCCAGTCTAACTGTTTAACAACCTGGTCTAACTGTTTAACATCCAAGTCTATCTGTATAACATCGTAGTCTACCTGTTTAACATCCTAGTGTAACTGTATAACATCACAGTCTAACTGTTTAACATCGTAGTCTACCTGTATAACATCCCAGTCTAACTGTTTAACATCCTGGTCTAACTGTTTAACATCCCAGTCTACCTGTTTGACATCCCAGTCTAACTGTTTAACATCCCAATCTACCTGTATAACATCCTGGTCTAACTGTTTAACATCCTGGTCTAACTGTTTAACATTGTAGTCTACCTGTTTAACATCCTAGTGTAACTGTTTAACATCCTAGTATAACTGTTTAACATCCCAATCTACCTGTATAACATCCCAGTCTAACTGTTTAATATCCTGGTCTAACTGTTTAACATCGTAGTCTACCTGTATAACATCCTAGTTTAACTGTATAACATCCCAGTCTAACTGTTTAACATCGTAATCTACCCGTATAACATCCAGTCTAACTGCATAACATCCCAGTCTAACTGTTTAACAACCTGGTCTAACTGTATAACATCCTGGTCTAACTGTTAACATCCTGGTCTAACTGTTTAACATCCTGGTCTAACTGTTTAACATTGTAGTCTACCTGTTTAACATCCTAGTGTAACTGTTTAACATCCCAATCTACCTGTATAACATCCCAGTCTGTTTAATATCCTGGTCTATCTGTTTAACATCGTAGACTACCAGTTTAACATCCTAGTGTAACTGTTTAACATCCTAGTGTAACTGTTTAACATCCCAATCTACCTGTATAACATCCTAGTGTAACTGTTTAACATCCTGGTCTAACTGTTTAACATCCCAGTCTAACTGTATAACCTCCTGGTCTACCTGTATTACATCCCAGTCTACCTGTATAACATCCCAGTCTACCTGTATAACATCGTAGTCTACCTGTTTAACATCCTAGTGTAACTGTATAACATACCAGTCTAACTGTTTAACATCGTAGTCTACCTGTTTAACATCCCAGTCTAACTGTTTAACATCCTGGTCTAACTGTTTAACATCAAAGTCTACCTGTATAACATCGTAGTCTACCTGTTTAACATCCTAGTGTAACTGTATAACATCCAAGTCTAACTGTTTAACATCGTAGTCTACCTGTTTAACATCCTGGTCTAACTGTTTAACTCCCCAATCTACCTGTATAACATCCTGGTCTAACTGTTTAACATCCCAGTCAATCCGTAAAACATCCCAGTCTAACTGTTTAACTTCCCAATCTACCTGTATAACATCCTAGTGTAACTGTACAACATCCCAGTCTAACTGTTCAACATTGTAGTCTACCTGTTTAACATCCCAGTCTACCTCTATAACATCACAGTCTAACTGTTTAACATCCTGGTCTAACTGATTAACTTCACAATCTACCTGTATTCCAGCTATATAGCGGCGGTCTGTAAATCTGGCAGGTATTTTTATAAATCTCAAGTCCAAAATGTATAATTTGCGTATTGCAAGTTTGTGTTTGTATAGTGAGTGAGTGAGTGAGCGAGTTGGGTTTAACGCCGCTTGTAACAGTATTCCAGTTATATCGCCAACGCCGTAGTTAACTTTTTTTTGGACAGGGAGGGCAAATAAGATTATTCATTTCTTATTCAAGTTAACTTTCACATGGAAAAATGTTTTCTATAAAAAAATCCAGGGGGGCAACGAGCCTGACCGCCCAATCCTGTCGGTCTAACTTTATAACATCCAGGTCTTACTGTATAACATACATGTCTTATTGTATATCAACCAGGTCTAACTGAATACCACCCTGATCTAACCTATAACAACAGTGTCGTTCTGTATAACATCCATCTTACTTATTACATCCAGGTCTTACTGTATAACATACGTGTCTTATTGTATATCAACCAGGTCTAACTGAATACCACCCTGATCTAACCTATAACAACAGTGTCGTTCTGTATAACATCCATCTTACTTATTACATCCAGGTCTTACTGTATAACATACGTGTCTTATTGTATATCAACCAGGTCTAACTGAATACCACCCTGATCTAACCTATAACAACAGTGTCGTTCTGTATAACATCCATGTCTTACTTTATTACATCCAGGTCTAACTGAATACCACCCTGATCTAACCTATAACAACAGTGTCGTTCTGTATAACATCCAGGTCTTACTTTATTACATCCAGGTCTAACTTAATACCACCCTGATCTAACCTATAACAACAGTGTCGTTCTGTATAACATCCAGGTCTTACTTTATTACATCCAGGTCTAACTGAATACCACCCTGATCTAACCTATAACAACAGTGTCGTTCTGTATAACATCCAGGTCTTACTTTATTACATCCAGGTCTTACTGTATACCACCCTGATCTAACCTATAACAACAGTGTCGTTCTGTATAACATCCAGGTCTTACTTTATTACATCCAGGTCTTACTGAATACCACCCTGATCTAACCTATAACAACAGTGTCGTTCTGTATAACATCCATGTCTTACTTTATTACATCCAGGTCTTACTGTATAACATACATGTCTTATTGTATATCAACCAGGTCTAACTGAATACCACCCTGATCTAACCTATAACAACAGTGTCGTTCTGTATAACATCCAGGTCTTACTTTATTACATCCAGGTCTAACTTAATACCACCCTGATCTAACCTATAACAACAGTGTCTTTCTGTATAACATCCAGGTCTTACTTTATTACATCCAGGTCTAACTGAATACCACCCTGATCTAACCTATAACAACAGTGTCGTTCTGTATAACATCCAGGTCTTACTTATTACATCCAGGTCTTACTGTATACCACCCTGATCTAACCTATAAAAACAGTGTCGTTCTGTATAACATCCAGGTCTTACTTTATTACATCCAGGTCTTACTGAATACCACCCTGATCTAACCTATAACAACAGTGTCGTTCTGTATAACATCCATCTTACTTATTACATCCAGGTCTTACTGTATAACATACGTGTCTTATTGTATATCAACCAGGTCTAACTGAATACCACCCTGATCTAACCTATAACAACAGTGTCGTTCTGTATAACATCCATGTCTTACTTTATTACATCCAGGTCTAACTGAATACCACCCTGATCTAACCTATAACAACAGTGTCGTTCTGTATAACATCCAGGTCTTACTTTATTACATCCAGGTCTAACTTAATACCACCCTGATCTAACCTATAACAACAGTGTCGTTCTGTATAACATCCAGGTCTTACTTTATTACATCCAGGTCTAACTGAATACCACCCTGATCTAACCTATAACAACAGTGTCGTTCTGTATAACATCCAGGTCTTACTTTATTACATCCAGGTCTTACTGTATACCACCCTGATCTAACCTATAACAACAGTGTCGTTCTGTATAACATCCAGGTCTTACTTTATTACATCCAGGTCTTACTGAATACCACCCTGATCTAACCTATAACAACAGTGTCGTTCTGTATAACATCCATGTCTTACTTTATTACATCCAGGTCTTACTGTATAACATACATGTCTTATTGTATATCAACCAGGTCTAACTGAATACCACCCTGATCTAACCTATAACAACAGTGTCGTTCTGTATAACATCCAGGTCTTACTTTATTACATCCAGGTCTAACTTAATACCACCCTGATTTAACCTATAACAACAGTGTCGTTCTGTATAACATCCAGGTCTTACTTTATTACATCCAGGTCTAACTGAATACCACCCTGATCTAACCTATAACAACAGTGTCGTTCTGTATAACATCCAGGTCTTACTTTATTACATCCAGGTCTTACTGTATACCACCCTGATCTAACCTATAACAACAGTGTCGTTCTGTATAACATCCAGGTCTTACTTATTACATCCAGGTCTTACTGTATACCACCCTGATCTAACCTATAACAACAGTGTCGTTCTGTATAACATCCAGGTCTTACTTTATTACATCCAGGTCTTACTGAATACCACCCTGATCTAACCTATAACAACAGTGTCGTTCTGTATAACATCCAGGTCTTACTTTATTACATCCAGGTCTTACTGAATGCCACCCTGATCTAACCTATAACAACAGTGTCGTTCTGTATAACATCCAGGTCTTACTTTATTACATCCAGATCTTACTGTATACCACCCTGATCTAACCTATAACAACAGTGTCGTTCTGTATAACATCCATCTTACTTATTACATCCAGGTCTTACTGTATACCACTCTGGTTGTACTGAATATCTCCTTTTTCCTTTTTTATTCTAAGCATACCCTGTATAAACTATGTATCGCGCTGGTCTTGCTAGCCTTGTTCAAAGGCTGCACTGAAAGAAAAGTCCAGAGGCGTAGTACTTCTATCCTCCTAATAGGCAAGTCTAGATATGTAAAGACTGCAGTATCTTACAGTGACAACATGGTCTTATTATTTACATAATTTAAAATTATTATTTAAACTAATAATTAATGCCTTGATGTAGACTCGCGCAAGTCTATGGTGTCACCAATCAGACGTGCTATAAGGCGTGGCTCGTCTCCGTGTGTAAAATCAGGCCATGCTCATAACAGATCAAAGCAATCATGCGTGACACCACTACATACCAGACTTCGTTTAAACCCTCTGGAGATTTACATCTACAGTTTATCAGCTACTGAATGACCTAGTTTAATTACCAAGTTTCAAGTCTCAGTGCAGTACTAATGTATTGCCCCCTCTATGTCCTGTCACCCCGAACACCGAGAGTCAATGTTGCAATAGTTACTGCGTGTTTCATTGCGATGTGCCCCCGCGCTGACTCCCGGTGTAATCGATGGCCTCAAGTAGTTTGAGATTATCTAGCAGCTGAAATGTGACATTATGTTCCTTGACGGTGTCTCTTACCTGTCGGGTGGATGGCAGAGCACCCGAATAACGCAAACATGAGGACACTGCGCGTGAAGCCCACCATATTGTCATGTCATGTCCGCTAACGTGTCGTCTGCGCCTCACACTCAGTCACACGTCACGGAAAGAGCCTTGGGACCTGTACCCGAACTGACGGGTAAACATGGGTTAATAGGCGAGCGATATCTACAACCGCCTGCCCGCACCTTAATCTGAGCCGCTGTTGAGAAAGCGAGCCACCCGCTCGTCACGAGACTTGCTCATAACATCGCTGTTGGAAGCCGTTTAACAAAAGAACCGGCAACAGGAAAAGTTGGTAATTTGTTGAAATTCTGGAATTAATTACACAACAATGTATTTCAGTGACATAATAATTAATCAACCAGGAATAAAGATCTAGCTAGTAATCTCTGGTGTTATATGTTAATAACACAGCGACAACGGTTGAGACATATTCAAATGTAAATTCTGTTCTCCTGTTCACTAGTATCACAAACAGCGACTTCGCTCCCGAGGATACACGAGCCATTGATCAGAATCTGATGTCACCGGAATAGCGTCGATTGTATCATGTGCCATGCCCGTTTGCACTCACCGTGGCTGTATAGTATTTTGTAATGTCAATTGAATAAATCAGAACGCCCTGACTCAGAAAGAAAACCCGTGCAAGGTGTAGTGGCTAACAAACGTATTGCACAAGCGTCATTTGTTCATTCGGTCGTTCTTTCATTCGTCCGTTCATTCAGTCTTAGGTCTTACAATGCAGACTGGCAATACTCAACTTTTTCATTTATGATAAATTTAAATCATATATCTTCTGCGTGTTAATAAAATTGAAACAAATACTCACATATACTGCATTGTTTTAATATGTTTCTTCATTTCTGGTTGGGAGGCACGGGTGGGCCAGTCGTCTAAGGCGCCGAGATTCGCTGTGCAGAGTTGCGTCCCTTGGACACGCCAGAAACCTATGATTGTGGGTTCGAATCCCGGTTCGCCCCAATTATGTTTCTAGGTTTGTCAGTACCATACCCATGCTCGTGGGTTTCACCGAAGTGGTAAACGTCTGTGACCTGTATCACATCGGGCTTTACTCGAACATTAAGCTGACACGCCGCGATATAACTGGAATACTGTTAAAAGCAGCGTTGAACCCAACTCACTCACTCACTCACCTGATACTGGAATGTGGTCTGAGGCGGATTCCTGGATTCAGCCTGATCATGACTGATGGTTTGCCAGCACCATGTCCTTGGGCCTTATATATCACTGACACACTGCTGAAGTTGCCCTATCACTCACTCAGGCAATGCTGGGATGTCTGGTCAGGGGAGATAACTGTAGTGGACTAATTACCGCCGGTGTGAGTGGACCATGACGACATGCAAATGTATTTGTATATGTCAACAGAGAGAAGTGGATAATGAAAACCAATCGATGGGCACATTTCCATAAGCGCTAGTTTTTCTGACTGTTTAACAAATACATGTGCAGATCCCGGTCATCAACACCACATAATTGCCGGAAGAGGCGAGGGTGTTTGTCGGAAGAGGCGGGATCACGTGGTCAAGCTCGCTGAGTATATGCATATGATCGGATATGATCGGATTCCAAATTCTTGGGTCGATGCTCATGATATCCATCACTGGAGTATGTGGTCCAGGCTCGATTATTTGGAGACCGCCGTCGTATAGTCGGAATATTGTTGAGTGCGGTGTTAAACAACAAACAAAGAGACAAACGACATGTCCTACATAAACATAGTGACACTTATGATCACCTGATTCTAGAGTTGCGTCTATGTAATGACAACCTGGCAACAGGTCTATATCTACCCGACTACTGAGCTCTGTATCTACCCGACTACAGAGCTCTGTATCTACTAGGGCTTCAACGAGTACTCGAGTACTCGGGGCCGGGTCGGTTTTACTGGGACTCGAGTCCGTTATCAAGGACTCGAGTACTCGATAAGGGGAGATCACTCTGTTTCAATGTTCAATTGTTCATCAATATATTGATTAAAGCTTCAAAAAATATTGTTTGAATAATGTATTCTTAGTAGAAAGTAGATGTACATTAGAACAATTGAGAATGTCACATAAAATAGACGTAATTATTGTTTTTTCCTTCCCGACTTTAAGAAATTGAATGTATCAAGGCGATTATTGCTTCTTTGCTCCGACATCAAATGCCAAGTGTATTCCCTTACACAGATTAACAACTGATTAGCTGGTATATATGTGTTATTTCAGTGCTTAAAAATCAAGCGACAGGTCGACAGTTTGGTACAGTTTGAAAACGTGACCAACTCATGAATGAATGAACTTATAGTACTACATTTACTACATTTCAATATTTAGCGGCCTTAGTCTTGCAGCCCAGCAGCTGTGTATACGTGTATATCGTGATGCACATTATCGATTTTCTTCCTGCGAATTATTGTTCGTGCTTGTTGGCAGGTGTCGAAAGAAACGCTGATCGTCAGAAAAAAACAAACTTGGTTTGTGTTCAATATGTACTGTAGTATTTGTAGACGTGGCGTAATGTTTTTTAAGGTCGTGATTAAGATTAGTGCAGTTACAAGCCAACATTAACACTGAACACTTCCATACACTTTGACAGATAAACAAGTTCTGTGCCTATCCTTCTGTTTAGTTCTGTACCTACCCGTCTATGAAGGTTGCGTCTATCCGACTTCTGAGTTCTATATCAACCCATCTACGGAGTTCTGCATCATCTACCCGACTATTGACTTCTGTATTCTAACCGTCTACTTACCTCTGTTTCTACCCGACTACTGAGTCCTGTATCTTCCTGCCTATTTAGTTCTGTATCTACCCGAAAACTGAGTTATTTATCTACCCGAGTTTTGAGTTCTGTATCTACCCATCTTCTTACCTCTGTTTCTACCCGACTACTGAGTCCTACATCTCTATTTAGTTCCGTATCTACCCGACTACTGTGTCCTACCTCTCTATTTAGTTCCGTATCTACCCGACTACTGAGTCCTACCTCTCTATCTAGTTCCGTATCTACCCGACTACTGAGTCCTACCTCTCTATTTAGTTCCGTATCTACCCGACTACTGAGTTCTACCTCTCTATTAAGTTCCGTATCTACCCGACTACTGTGTCCTCTCTAGACCAGTGAAGATTCCGGGGTAGAATAGGTCTTCAGCAACCCATGCTTGCCATAAAAGGCGACTATGCTTGTCGTAAAAGGCGACTAATGGGATCGGGTGGTCAGGCTCGCTGACTTGGTTGATACATGTCATCGATCCCAATTGCGCGGATCGTACTCATGATGTCAATCACTGGATTGTCTGGTCCAGACTCGATTTTTTACAGACCGCCGTCATATAGATGCAATATTGCTGAGTGGGGCGTTAAACAACAAACCAACCAACCAAACCAACCTACCTCTCTATTTAGTTCCGTATCTACCCGACTGTTGAGTCCTACCTCTCTATTTAGTTCCGTATCTACCCGACTACTGAGTCCTACCTCTCTATCTAGTTCCGTATCTACCCGACTATTGAGTCCTACCTCTCTATTTAGTTCCGTATCTACCCGACTACTGAGTTCTACTTCTCTATTTAGTTCCGTATCTACCCGACTACTGTGTCCTACCTCTCTATTTAGTTCCGTATCTGCCCGACTACTGAGTCCGACCTCTCTATTTAGTTCCGTATCTACCCGACTACTGAGTCCTACCTCTCTATTTAGTTCCGTATCTACCCGACTACTGAGTCCGACCTCTCTATTTAGTTCCGTATCTACCCGACTACTGTGTCCTACCTCTCTTTTTAGTTCCGTATCTACCCGACTACTGAGTCCGACCTCTCTATTTAGTTCCGTATCTACCCGACTACTGAGTCCTACCTCTCTATTTAGTTCCGTATCTACCCGACTACTGAGTCCGACCTCTCTATTTAGTTCCGTATCTACCCGACTACTGAGTCCTACCTCTCTATTTAGTTCCGTATCTACCCGACTACTGAGTCCGACCTCTCTATTTAGTTCCGTATCTACCCGACTACTGAGTCCGACCTCTCTATTTAGTTCCGTATCTACCCGACTACTGAGTCCTACCTCTCTATTTAGTTCCGTATCTACCCGACTACTGAGTCCGACCTCTTTATTTAGTTCCGTATCTACCCGACTACTGAGTTCTACCTCTCTATTTAGTTCCGTATCTACCCGACTATTGAGTCCTACCTCTCTATTTAGTTCCGTATCTACCCGACTACTGAGTCCTACCTCTCTATTTAGTTCCGTATCTACCCGACTACTGAGTCCTACCTCTCTATCTAGTTCCGTATCTACCCGACTACTGAGTCCTACCTCTCTATTTAGTTCCGTATCTACCCGACTACTGAGTCCTACCTCTCTATTTAGTTCCGTATCTACCCGACTACTGTGTCCTACCTCTCTATTTAGTTCCGTATCTACCCGACTACTGAGTCCTACCTCTCTATTTAGTTCCGTATCTACCCGACTACTGAGTCCTACCTCTCTATTTAGTTCCGTATCTACCCGACTACTGAGTCCTACCTCTCTATTTAGTTCCGTATCTACCCGACTACTGTGTCCTACCTCTCTATTTAGTTCCGTATCTACCCGACTTCTGTGTCCTACCTCTCTATTTAGTTCCGTATCTACCCGACTATTGAGTCCTACCTCTCTATCTAGTTCCGTATCTACCCGACTACTGAGTCCTACCTCTCTATCTAGTTCCGTATCTACCCGACTACTGAGTCCTACCTCTCTATCTAGTTCCGTATCTACCCGACTACTGAGTCCTACCTCTCTATTTAGTTCCGTATCTACCCGACTACTGTGCCCTACCTCTCTATTTAGTTCCGTATCTACCCGACTACTGTGTCCTACCTCTCTTTTTAGTTCCGTATCTACCCGACTACTGAGTCCGACCTCTCTATTTAGTTCCGTATCTACCCGACTACTGAGTCCTACCTCTCTATTTAGTTCCGTATCTACCCGACTACTGAGTCCTACCTCTCTATTTAGTTCCGTATCTACCCGACTACTGAGTTCTACCTCTCTATTTAGTTCCGTATCTACCCGACTATTGAGTCCTACCTCTCTATTTAGTTCCGTATCTACCCGACTACTGAGTCCTACCTCTCTATTTAATTCCGTATCTACCCGACTACTGAGTCCTACCTCTCTATCTAGTTCCGTATCTACCCGACTACTGAGTCCTACCTTTCTATTTAGTTCCGTATCTACCCGACTACTGAGTCCTTC